ATCTTAATTAAATTTTCATCTTTGACAAATTTGTCTCCGAAGAGCTGCCATATGCTCACTGGGCAAGGGTGAAAACATTGAGAGGGAAGGAGACTTTAGGAATTGGAGTTGAATGGGCTTGAAAATTACAACAGCACAAGGTGCATTTTTCTGTCAGCCTTGTGATTTTTTTTTTTTTATTCAGGAGGGATAGCCTTGCATTCCTATAGATTTTTCACTGCGTTATTACATTATGGATTTTTTCCCCTCCAAGACAAAGTATAATAATGCACTTTATACTAAGACTGTTTTTCATCACTTGCAGGGCAAAGGGAGTGTGTGTGTGTCCTTGTGTAGTAGTTATGAATGTATGTGTGACTGCTTTGAGGAGTGGAGATCTGGATGAGCACCTGTGTGTGTGTGTGTGTGTGTGTGTGTGTGTGTGTGTGTGTGTGTGTGTGTGTGTCACCTTTTTTAATAATGTGCTGTCAATCTGGGCTCTGGGAATGGCCATTTCACTAACCCTCCCTAAGTCTCATAACACGGATCCTCTGGGAGTGAGAATAAGTCATCAGCCGGTGACCGAGAGTCCTCGAGCACCGCAGAGAAAGGCAGAAATCACAGTGGATGCAATAAGGCGGACGGGGCGGTATAAAACTTGGGCTCTCAAATGAATGCCGGCGTACTCGAACTTATAGCACCGCCGCTCTTCTCTCTGCTGCTTTAGCTGATATATGGCAGACGAACTGGAGAGGGTAACAAGACCTGGATGGTGCTGACTGGTTTTATGACAAACGTGAATGCTATATCTGCTCACAGGTCCATCATCCATTCGTTCAGTCTTTCATTTATTCACTCATAATTCATCTGCCCCCTAGTGGCCATTAGCAGGCGCTGAAAAAGTCTACATGTGAGGACCTGGATCATCGCTCAGCTCCTCACTTCAGTGCCACTAAACTACCGTATGTAGGGAGTACTGTGCGACACCGTGTCCTTGTTTTGTTCATACCCCAGGAAGAGCAGCTGTTGCTTTTTCTGCTGGGGATCCAAATAAATAATAAACAGCAAGAGTTTGGGTATGTGTTGGAAAGAGAAGCTTTGGAAAAAAAGAGGAAATGGAGATTATAATATATGCCAAATTTTGACTTGTAAAAGTTTTGTCCTCCTCCTTCTAGCCAAGGCAAGTTTATCTGTATAGCTCAGTATCACAACAATAAGCCTCATACAAGAATACTGTAATATCTTTCTCTTAAATCTTTTGATTTTTCCATTTGAGATTTGCTCATACTTGAGTGTGCTCAATCTGACTTGTGGCACTCCTAACTGCACAGAATTATCTGCTTGTTGACTTGATGAAAGCCAGTTGTTCATGACTAGTGTGCATTTGTCACATTTGATTTTTAGCATAAATGCCCCTCTGTTAGCATGTACGGGTTTCACTTTGTTTGTGACGAGTTTAAATCACAAACAGTTTCATGAAATGATAAAAGAACTTTAGTCCAGAGCTTCAAGGCAGAAATCAGCGCAAACCAACGAAGCAGTGCCAGGAGTCATGACCCAAACCAATTATTAATACAGGTTTATTTCTCATATGTGCCACTTAAGAACAAATCTGTTCTTACATGAGGCCCACAGTCTCATTGGTTTTAAGAGGCCACATGAACAAAGGTTCCCACCACAGCCTGAGCTCTTGATGAAGAAACATTCCTCATATGATGCGACGTAGCCAAAGACATTAGACAACAAGGCTAATGTAAAGCTGGCCTACTTCCTTCTGCCCACGCAGGAGTAAATAAGTGCTTCTATCCTACATTAGCATTGAAGCTGCAGCTGGAGAACATTATTTATTAACCCTAACACATTTAGTATACAATGTTTGTGTCCCTACTGGACATCAACAGACACTTCACAATGACACTGATGCAAGTTTGTGCAGTGTGCTGCTTGTTGGAATGAATGGTTAACTGTACATGGATGTAGGTTTATTAAATACTGTCCAATGATGACAACTGGAAACCTGCTACGGTGTTATTTTCATCATAGTGTTGGAACATGCCAAACTTTGAACAGGCCTTGGGGTTCAAGAGTTGAAGCCAAAAATTGGGCAAAGTGGAAAAGCCCTCAGCTGGTATGTGTTTCAACGGTCTTTTTTAGACAGCCACCCAAATCTATTTTTTGGCATATTCAGATTGTATCTAGATTTATTTTAGGAAGTCTGGATAGCAAAATAATTTTTTGCGAATCCGATCCAAACCACATTTGGAGGCCATTTAAAACTTTCTATATACACTGTAACTATACACTGTAAATAAAGATGGACAGCACATAGTCCTGTTGTACAAAAATGAAGCCCAAATATCCTGGATACGGTCGCTCTCATCTTGGCTCATTTGGAGCTAGAGTCTGCGCAATAGCTATATCCACAGTATTAAGTAAGTATCAAACCAATCACAACCAGTGCCACTGATTGCGAGCACCTGGGACCTGTCATATTGTCTATCTTTATATACAATCTATGGTCTGAGACACTCTGGACACTCAAATTGGATTTCAAAGTGTCAACGACATTAAATCCACAGTGAAGTAAGTGCTGAGCTGAATCCATGCTGCCACTAGCAGAACACTATGAAGGACAACATGGAGAATAAGGGTGCTTTCACACCTGCCCTGTTTGGTTCAGTTCAATCCAACTCAAGTTTGTTTCCCCCATTAAGTGCGGTTCATTTGGGCAGGTGTGAACACAGCAATCACACTCAGGTGTGCACCAAAACCACCGGACTAAGACCTTCTTGAAGAGGTGGTCTCAATCTGGTTACAAATGAACTCTGGTGCGGTTCATTTGTGGTGAGAACGTGTTCCGACCTGGATCTGAACCAACTGCAGTCACATGACACATTGTTTGGGTTAAACATGAGCATGTTACAGTCCTGGAGGATTATTAATGTGCACCTCCTCCTGTACTGCCTTAATATGCACATTCAGCACAAACAATACATCAAAACATTGTATTCTAGTTGGAGCCGAGCCTCGTTTTCAAACTGTATGGTTTGACTAAAATGAACAATGACAGCAATATAGTCCACGATGAGCAGCCCTAAAATCAACCTGTGTAGTTGTCCCTCCATTGTGACATTAGAAAGTGTCACATTTATCTTGCAAGTGTGCTCTTCTTCAACGTTTGGTTTACTTCCTGGATTTTTCCCACGCATGGAAATTCTGACCAATCAAGAGCAGCTTTCTCACACAAGGCATTTGATCTGGTCCTCTTGTAAATGCTGCCGTGAGAACATGAACCAACTCTAGGCAATTATACAACTTTGTAACAAAATGAGTCCCTGATCCAGACCAAAGCAAAACAACTCCAGGTTTAAAAACACCCTAAGAGTCTGTGAATGCCAGTGCTGGAATTCTGCAACATGACTTGACAGCCTGATAGTATGGAGGGCAAAATGATGGACTTCCATTTCTCATACTTCCACGTCAAAAAGCAGCGTCATTACTGTAGCCACATAGTTACTGATGTCGTCATCACATGCAAATAACAGTGCAGACAGTCAGTTAAAGATTTGATTTGAGAAACAAATGTGATTTGACTGCAGTCTGAAATTAGCCTTAATCATGTCTTCTCTCCTCCAGGTGTAAAATAAATGCATGACGCAACCACTTTGGCATATTTTTCATCTAAACCTTTGAAATCCCAAGACGTAGGTAGGTGTAGAAGAAACAGTCTTTCCATTTTTGAGAACTATGAACAAGAAAGCAGCACAAAAAGTCATCTCTGATACTGGTAAGCACAGTCCATGGTGAAAGCAGTAGTGTTTCTTTAGTAAAAAGAAACATAAAGAATTAAGATAATTTGAATGATCTCTGCTTTCACTGTTCCAAGTCATAGCTGGCATTTAAAAAAAAAAAGGTACAGAGGTACAGAAAGCTGAGATGCAACAAATTATTTATATCATATATAATCAGCGCTTTATTAATGAATACCTCCAAAAAGGCTGTTGTCAATTATTACAGTTGCTTATTTCATTAGGTCTGCAAGTGACTTTCCCTTGAACACAGATAAAATAAACTTGTAATTGAAAGCAGACATGAACTGAAACCCTGACCCTGCACAATCTGTGTGTTCGCATACGGAGGAGTGAGTGTGCATGGTCTTTTCAGTCAAAGCGCTGACTTGATGTCGTGGGTGTTTTGTGAAGGATAGGAAGATGGTAACGAGGAGCGAAGTCAGACACAGGGCACCTGCTGCTGCTTCTGGGCAGCCTTTTCTTACACTTGACGTGAGGGTCAGGCAGAAGGACTCGGTGCCTCACAGATGCAATACTGCACCTACTGTACACTGCAGGATTCATTACTAATATATTAGCCTTTTTGTGCATATTTCCCTTGTATTTGAATGCCTCTGTACACGTTTTAGAGATAATTATGTGTATAGATTTGATATATTTAGTGAGTGCTGTTGTTGTAAGTCAGTGACTTACTGTATGACCTGCCAACACTGCTCTCTTTGCTAATGCAGTTTGCCCATATTTAGCGAAACCTGACGTGATTTTGCAAATCCTAACACTATTCCTGCTTTATACGACTAAATCACAACAACACAAGACCACAGAACAGAATTTTGGACACATTTGCTTCCATCGGACTTGATCAATGAAACATACAAAAGTTGGTCCCCCCACTGTCTTTGCGTCTCTGCCTTTTATCTGCCTGAAACATCGTTAATTGCTTCACATTGCTTTGAAACCCCACAACTCATATTTCACTATTAACGTGGTGATTGTCAGAACTCTCAAAGATGACATACAGGATGCTGCTAATTGGGATTCAACTTTAATCTCTTGTCTGTGTGGATGCCTTTGTTGTTTTGATTCCAGATCTCATGGGAAATGTCCATTACTTTGTCCAGCGCTTGTAAGACCCATACTAATACCTGCTTTGTCATGTGACCCATCCTTTTAATCACTCAATATGTCTGTGATGTGTGTGTGTGTGTGTGTGTGTGTATGAGTACTCACAGATATTAGCCGTGCCCTTGGGGATGGGCAGGTAGGAGCCAGCACTCCACGCTCGCCCCTGGTAGTTCTTCTTACAGCGGCCACAGTCAGGCCCGGTGGTGTTGTGTTCACACTCGCAGCTCAACTTCTCTTTGTCATATACACAGCTGTTGGCATGAAGGTTGCACTTGCACCTGTCAAAGAGGGAGAAGGGTGGTTGGGGAGGGGGGTGCGGGGTGGAGTTGAAAGAGGACAACCACGTCAACATGAGTGAATTTTCTGGCACTGAATGAACAACAGACAGCTTTTATTTCGTTGGACAATGCTGCTGAAGGGCAGCGTGTCCTTGACTAGCGGTAGCATTGGAACACAGTCAGAACGGGCAAAACAGTTGCGTCTTCAACTTCAAGAGGAGCTAGTTCAAAGGAGGCAGGCGGTTGCACGAACAAATCTGGCATCATTATTTCCTCCCTTTTCTTTCTCCCCCCCCTTCCCTCCACTCGGGAAGGTAGCTCGGTTTTAATTGTCCCACTGGAGGATGCATAATTGTGGTAAGGTCACAGTCGATGGGCAAGGAAAGATCGGGAGGGAGAGGGGGACAGAGAGGTGCGAGGGGATGCTGAGGAAAACAAGCCAAGTTAAATTGTGGAACAAGCACTGGGAGAATGAAAGCGGCGAGGCTTGCAGCTCCACGAGGCGATGAATAGCTCAGAGTTAGCCAGAGGGCGGCATGGAGCAACAGCAAGGCTATGTTTGCTATGACAAATTAATATGAGATGAGATCTCAGAAGCATATTTCCAGTTCGGAAAGAGGGACTCCCTTAAGGTGCACTAAATCCTCACTCACATACTGCTCACCAGAACCTTCATTTAACAATAAACTCAGCAAATTCATTTTCTGCTGTGGCTAGATGAGCATTGAGGGGATATCTATCTGTTAAATTAATTTATGATCCTCATGCAGCATAAAGTACTCTGAGGAATACGGGGTATTGCTAGACCTCTTTCTGGAGAACTCTGCAAAAGAGAACAACATATGTGAGTGGGTTTTCAAACGGTTTATTAGAAATAGGAGAATTTTCTCAACACAAAAACAAAAGGATTAAATGTTCCAAGATCTAGTTTGTTCAGTAGCTGTCTGCCTTTTTAATTGCGACAAGGACCGAGCTGGAATCACTTACTGCTCGACATCTAATGCTGCAATGTGATATGACACACTCCTGAAACATCAGCACCAGGATGCTCGAATCTCTAAGATAAGATTATTGTTTCCAAAGCGCAACATGAGTCACGATCAAATGCCAGAGCCAACGCTGGCTGCAACTTTAAATAAAATCTGGATATTTGACTTCCAACACGCATGACTCATCCTAAAAGTATGGAACTGTAGCTGTGTTTGTTTATTTTAGGATAAAGTGCTGAGAGGCAGACAAAATGGCACTATTTAAGCCCGTCTCCCTCTTTTGAAAGTGCCCTTTTATTTAGCTATTTAAATGTGTTTTTAAACTAGAAGCCAGGTGAGTGGCATCGTTCCATGAGTTCCCAAGGAAGGGAGGAAGAGATGGAGGGCAAGGTGTTGAGGAGATGACACGATAAGCCCCACAGTTAGGTTTGCTAACGTCTTTGTGAGAAACTCAGGCAACAGCTGGCCTCCGTCACCCTGCCCATTCTGCTTCACCAAAGCTTGACTTGAAATATAATAATTTGGAGGAAAAGCACAGCCTTAACCCACTCACCACTGCTTGACCCCAATACTCAACATATCTGCTGTTCGCCCCAAATTCAAGGGCTGTGTGCTGACTCGGGTTGGGCTCCGATACCTGGTCACATTTAGGATCATGTTACAGGTCGAGAAGAAGAGACACCTCTATTTAACATCTCTCTATCATCCTAAGTGCAATGTATGTTAGGGGGGGAAGAAGTATTCATTTATTTACCAGCTACGCTCCTCCAGGTGGTTGCTTTTTATTGAACCCTGGGTTTTAACAGATCTGGGGAAAATTGCATTCTCCTACTCTGCACCTTGGACATGGGACAGTCTTCAAAAAGATCTCACATTAGAAACACTTATACCCGCTGATGAATCTAAGGGCATCATACAGAATTTGGTGACAGAGACATGTGCTTGTTTTTCTTGAGAGGCCACTATGTTTGAATAGTTGTTGTTTTATTGTAGATTTTTGTATTATATGTTGTATTCATTGCATTTTAAATGTGTTTTGATTGGCTGCTACCTCAGCCAGGTCTCTGTTGTAAAAGATTTTCAATCTCAATGGGACTTCCTGGTTAAATAAAGGTTAGTCTCTATATACAGACTCTACATTCAGTGAATGTAGAGTCTGTAGGCAAACCCCAGAGATCTTGCCTCCGGTTGTAGGCTGTTTGTGGTCCGCATGATATTGACAAACCACGTTTGAGCCGGCTGCAGTTGTTGCCAGGTTAAACAGTCCGTGCGGTGAACTAACGAGGCGGAACATAACTGGCGTCACTGCAAACTCTGAATCCATCGCAATGGTTCAGCATATTGACTTATATATAAACGGAAGTCGGAAACGGAAATTCGCCTCCTCCGCCCAAGTCAAACCGGAATGCCAAAAAATCGGGGGTCTGCCCCCAGAGGCTGTATCGCTATCTGCTGGAAGTCAGACACTGAATACAGCCGATGGGTTCCAAGAATGGATAAAGGTTAAATTATACTGCCAGCCAAAGTAACAGTAAAAGCCAATCCCAGATTCACTCTAAACCAGTGGTTCTCAAATGGTGTGCCATGATGCAAATCCAGGTGTGCCGTGGGATACTGTGATAACCTCACATTATTATTACAATATTCAACTGGGCCTATACAAAAAGTTATGAATGCATTTTTAGTTGACTGTTTAAGTATGTTGTGCGCACCCATTTCCTAATAAAGAGGCAAACTGTACCTTTAAAAATGTAATTTGTTGCTGTTCGCGAGAGGGAATTCTAAGTGTGTGACATGTCACATTAACTTACATTATTTCCCATTTAAATGAATGTGTTATTGGTGCTTTTAAGTAATTTAAAAAGGTTTATAATGACTTCTTAAATCATTTTGATAATGAATATTTCATGAGTAATAGTTGGTTGTCAATTGTTTGATATTAGTAAACAAAAGCAAACATTAATGTCATGATAAGAGTGATAACACATGTTTCAGAGGCTATTGTGCACTGATATAAATACAGGTGTGCCTTGAGATTTTGGGTGCCCTTTGGTGAGCCTTGGGCACAAAAACTTTTAAAACCCCTGCTGTAGTTTACCATTTTGCCTCGCTAAAATTGCATTTTTTTCGGTGCTGTGTTCTCCCGCATGCTTGCTGCTTACAGTCTGGCAGTTGGTCTCTACCTTTTTATAAAGTCCAGACCTCACCTGAGCGCTGCAGGGGTACACACCCATAAATGTCCAGAACACAGAAAAGAAAATACGAAAAAACCAGGCAGAGGGAGGAGTCTCTGCAGAAAAATACTACGGTACACACTTCTACTGGATCATAAGTGATGACTGAGAGGGAGTACCTTTGAGGCTATACATTATTTTTCAAGACAAATCCTGCATAGTGTACCTTTAAGCTTATCTGTGTGTTAGCTCTGATATGGGGCATGCAGTATATGGAGTACATAGCTCATAAAATATATTATGTGAGTCAAAGTAAGTGGGCTACACCTGTTATTTCATCATGTCAGATACATTTTTAATCAGCATTTCGTACCTCATACTGCTCATGTCATTTTCAGGTTGTAGCTACAGAATGTGAGCAGTAAAAAGGCTGACACTCACAGCTGTAGTCTCTCTGCCTTCTACGCCAACAAGAAGTAAGAACGTACCTCAGTATGATCTTTGAGGTTTATTTTTTTTGCTTTGGTTACGAATGTTTGAGGCTGACCCTGAATGGATTTGAAGAGGGATTCTAAAGGATTGGATAAAATGCAATCCAGACTGCTCTGTTCATTTCAATTGTCCACATCCGTCTGGTCGCACTGACAGAGATGTCACAGCCCTGCTCAATGTGCTTTCTTTCCTTCTCAGTTATAAAAGTCTGCCTTGTTAGTGTGTATATGTGTGTGTGTGTGTGTGTGTGTGTGTGTGTGTGTGTGAGAGAGGAGTGGGTAGAGGATGTGGTGTGAAACGACTTCACATGGAGCCCTTTGTGGTTTAACCTTCAGCTTCTTTTAACATCGCCAACATTTTAATCAGCATCCAGAAATGATAGCGCCGTCGGCATAATGATGGAGACTGCCAGTGAGGCCCTTAGGGTCTCTTACCCACCAGTGCTGTTGTGCTGCCAATCAGCAGTGGCTCCTGAATGTGTGGATACCAGGGGAGGCTCTCTCGCCGCTGCACCAGCAACAACAGCTTCAGAGACGGAGCCAAGTAAACGTGTATTTAACAGCATTTTAATAGCAAATTTCCTCCAGGGTTCCCCCTGCGTACAGTGTTATGTCTTCATTTCCTACTTTAAAAGCTCTGTGGGTCGCCTTCTCCTGACTTTCCATCAGACTTTGTATTGTTCTCTTCATATCTCTCTCCTCCATCCACCTGTCATTGTTAACTCCAGTATCTCCTATTAATAAATATTCATGGAGCCAAGGCATCTTTGTTTTTGTGTGGTGCTCTCAAAGTGATATTGCTGGAGGCATTATTGAGTGTGCCAGCCACCGCCTGTGAGCTAAAGGTCCTGATATGTATTCATAAAATTACCCATGAGGCTATAAGCTCAATTTGCTAGACGGGCAAAAAAAGAGAAAGAGGGAGGAAAAAAACTCGATTGAAGTTTTGATTCCATTTTGTCTGAGAGAAAGCAGCAAACATATTCTCATATCTGACAAGAGTTTAAAGTTCCCCTTGAAATGTGGGAGACAGAAGATACTCTTGGGAGCAAAATTTATTATTTTTCTTTATCCTGGTGGAAATGCGAGCAGAGCAGCCCGTTGAGACGTAGCTTACCTGGAGCAGTGTGTCTATGACCTCTGCAGTAATGGGATTCTGATTGACACCATGGGTGCACACGACATATTGCTCCTTCCCACTGATGATGCCAGCGACAACAAACAAAAACAGTGCAACACAATGCCCTGTTTCTCCAAAATAAAGGCCTTTTCCTTTCTATCTCTTCCGCCATTATCCAAATAATTCCATTCAGCCGAGTTCATTCCTCGACATTGCTCCAATTTGC